GCTCGGGGGATAACTTCTGGGTCAGTGGTTCTGGCCCAGCCCCTCCAGGGGCACAGGTGCAGGGGAGGCCACACCTGTAATCCTAGCTGTCTGGGAGGCCAAGGCAGGCGGATTGCTTAAGGTCAGGAGTTGGAAACCAGCCTGAGCAAGAGCGAGACCCCGTCTCTACTATACATAGGAAGAAATTAATTGGCCAACTAATATATATAGAAAAAATCAGCCGGGCATGGTGGCTCATGCCCGTAGTTCCAGCTACTCAGGAGGCTGAGGCAGGAGGATCACTTGAGCCCAGGAGTTTGAGGTTGCTGTGAGCGAGGCTGACGCCACGGCACTCGCTCTAGCCTGGGCAACAAAGCCAGACTCTGTCTCAAAACAAAACAAAACAAAACAAAACCCCACGGCTGAGAGCGAGGGGTTTGAGAGCCGTGGGGAAATTACAATGCAACATCGTTTCTTCACCAGCGTTTGGGAGAGAGGAGAGCAGACCCGGCTTGCCAAGCAGCCCGTGGGCCGTGGTGAGATCAGGCTGGGAAGAGGGTGAGCCGGAGCCACGGGCAGCTCTGCCCAAGGTGGGGCAGGCCAGCTGGCGGCCCTGGCCGTGCGAACACACGTGCCCGGGTTTTAATTAACGCTCCTACTTCACCGCCTGCCCGCTTTTTTTTTTTTTTTTTTTTTTTTTTTTGAGTCAGAGTCTCATTCTGTTGCCTGGGCTAGAGTGTCATGGCGTCAGCCTAGCTCACAGCAACCTCAAACTCCTAGGCTCAAGCAATCCTCCTGCCTCAGCCTCCTTAGTAGCTGGGACTACAGCTACGAGCCACCATGCCTGGCTAATTTTTTTTCTATATGTTTTTAGTTGGCCAATTAATTTCTTTCTATTTTTAGTAGAGACGGGGTCTCATTCTTGCTCAGGCTGGTTTCGAACTCCTGACCTTGAGCGATCCCCCCGCCTCGGCCTCCCAGAGTGCTAGGATCACAGACGTGAGCCACCGCGCCCGGCCTTTTTTTTTTTTTTTACATCTTAAAACGATATCTGTCTTCCCTGTGATGCTGAGTTTAAAAAAAAAAATAAGAGATGAAAAAATTATTTTTAATAAATTATAAAAATAAAAAAATCACTATCTGGGCTTGGGAACTCGGTCAGGGGGACACTAACCGCTGCCCTTCAGTGTCGGGGTCCAGCCCCTCCCTCCTTCCCCTCTCCCCCGGGGTCCACGTGCACTGTGCGGCCAGTCCACCAGCCCCGTGAGCCGAGCCGCAGTCAGCCCTCTCCCCTCGGGGTCCTGGGCTTCTGACCCTGCTCCCCCAAGCCTGCACAGATGCCCCCAGCAGGGATCCCAAACGCCTCTGCCCTTGAACTCCCCACACCCGCATGTGGGCCAAACATGCAACACACGCGTGTGGTCCAAACAGGTTTCCTGCTCAGTGCGGCCGGCTGTGGTGGGCCTGGGCACGGGCGCTGCCCTGGCCCGTCTGTCCTCGGCCTGCCTGCTTGTGGGCAGTCAGCGCCCGCCTTTGCAAAGTTTGGCTCTGGAGTCGGGAAGGCTGGCTTTGTCCCTGGCGAGCAGGGGGACCCTGGGTCCCCGTCTGTCCTCCGGGCCCGAGCTGCTGCTCTGACCATGAGGGCTGCGCCCAGCAGCCTCACGGGCCGTGACGTTTGGCTCAGAGGTGTCCAGGGCCCATGGGGAAGGTGCACTGCACCCAGCACCTCTGCTGCTCTCTGTGGCCGCCACACGGAGTTTGTCTTGTCTCGAGCGGTGGGCATGTTCCAGTCCCAGATTTCACATGCAGACAAACCCTTCGAAACTCAAACGCCCAGAAACTTCACCATCCTCAGGAACGTCCCCGAAGGGGAGATATCACAATCTGAAACGGGGACCGGTTCCTGGTGAGTGGGAGGGTGGCTCCTCCTGCACCAGGTGCCATCGTGGGCATTTAGGTGACTCTCCGGACGCCTCCCAGGCTCCTGTGCAGGCGCAGAGCTGTGATGGTGAAGAGGTGCTGGCCCCGTGTGGAGCCTTGGAAAACCAAGGGACTTTTCTTTAAAAGGCACCCCGTGAAGCCAAAACGATCTTCTGCTTTTCTTTGCCGGGAGCTTGTCTGGACTCCTCCCCGCAGCCTCTTGGCTCTCGGAGGACTGAGTGTGTAGCTGGTGCCCGTCTAGGGTCAGAGCCCGGTCAGCTGCCCCAGTGCTACGACGGGAGGGCGGGCATCTCAGACCGCTGCCCGATGGCCTCTGACTCTCCAGGGCTCTGCAGCGGCATCCAGGGTGCCTGTGGCTGCAACCTCGGACTCGGGGAAAGTCCCTCCGCGCCTGCACCCACAGCCCGTGTCAGGGACTCAACAGGGTTGTGGGGAGACCTGTCAGACCCACCCTGGGATCCGGAATCTCACCCTTGGGTCCAGAATCCACCCTGGGGTCTGGGTCCCACCCTGGGGTCCAGATGTCACCCTGGGGTCCAGATGTCACCCTGGGGTCCAGATCCCACCCTGGGATCCAGAATCCACCCTGGCGTCCGGATCCCACCCTGGGGTCCAGATCCCACCCTGGAGTCCAGATCCTACCCTGGGGTCCAGATCCCACCCTGGAGTCCAGATCCTACCCTGGGGTCCAGATCCCACCCTGGGGTCCAGATCCCACCCTGGAGTCCAGATCCTACCCTGGGGTCCAGATCCCACCCTGGGGTCCAGATCCCACCCTGGAGTCCAGATCCTACCCTGGGGTCCAGATGTCACTCTGGGGTCCAGATTCCACCCTGGGGTCCAGATCCCACCCTGGGGTCTGGATCCCACCTGGGGTCTAGATCTACCCTGGGGTCCAGATCCCACCCTGGGGTCCAGATGTTACCCTGGGGCTGCTCTCTCAGCCTAGGCCCCATACATGGGCCCCATACAGCCCATCCCCCAGCAGACTCGAGGCAAGGCTGCCACGTGTGGAAGGGACCCCAGGTAAGAGGAATGACCCCAGGAAGAATGACCAGGGAGTGACGCGGAGGCCACCCGGCTGTGCTGTCACTGGCCGGTGCTGTCATATGCATGGGGGGTCCCCAGCAGCCCCTGAGAGTGTGGAGAGAGAGCCTCCGGTTGACGCCCTGGAGGGAAGCGTGAACAGCCACTCACCGTGTGGAGCTGGCGGCCGCTGCCGGCACTGCCCTGGTGAGCTCCTGCCTTATGCCATCCGGTTTCCCTGGGGGGAGGGCAGGAGACTCACGGGGTCGGTGACGCAGAGCAGTGGGGAGATGCAGGAGGTTGCGGGAAACTCACACTTTGTCTTGAGGGCTGGTGCCATTAAAAATGTACACAGATGCCCCTCGACTCACGGCGGGGCCACACCCCCATAAACCTGCCATAGGTTGAAAATGCGAAAAATGCATTTACTAGCCCCACGCGCCCATCGTGAGGCTGAGCACCGCGAGCCGGGGCGCCCGCGCCCTAGCGTGGGATCCGAGCTGAGCTCCAGGGCTGCTCCTTTGGCGCCGCTGGCGCCGTGCCCGGGAGCCCTGCCGTGCCGGCTGCCGCGGTGCAGCGAGTCCCGGGGCCACGGTGTCTGTCTCCACCCGAGCAGCCTCCCACGCCAGCGTCCCACACCCGCAAGACGGAGCCCCAGGTGCCGGCTCCCGCTGTCCCCACGGGAGACAAATGGCCCTGGGAGCCCGCCCCGCGCGCACTGGCAGCCCCCCAAGCCCACGCAGGAACAGTCTCAGGGTGTTGCTGAGCTCCCCTGCGGATGGGGGGCAGAGCCTTTCCTCCCTGGCGTTCCTGTGGGCGCTGTGCCCAGCTGCTGCTGGCAGGGCGGCTGGCGTGGCCATGGCGATGAGCTGCCTCCAGCGTGCCACTTGGTGCCAACCAGAGGACGTCATGCTCCGGCTGCAGGAGCGAGGGCGTGGGGTCCCTGCTGCCGGCCAGCGTCTGGCGTTTTACTGAGGAGGGAGGTGCAGGAGATCAGCTTGCCCAGTTGGGGGCCGGGAGATGCCAACGCTCGAGTGTTTCTAAGTAAAGGGTCTTTAGCATGGTGACCGTGGCCACGGCCGGGCCCGGCCACGCCGCCCCTAAGTGGGAGGGGAGGCCGGGGCTGGGCCTGCAACTCACAGTGTCAGGAACTGACATAATGAAGAGTGGACATTGGGGCCGGGCGCCGTGGCTCACGCCTGTCGTCCCAGCATTCTGGGAGGCCAAGGCAGGAGGATCGCATGAGCCCAGGAGTTTGAGGTTGCTGTGAGCTAGGCTGACACCATGGCACTCACTCTAGCCTGGGCAACAGAGCGAGACTCTGTCTCAAAAAAAAAAAAAAAAAAAAAAGAGTGGTCGTTGGCAGGGGAGACTGTTTGGGTCCTGCTGGGGCAGCGAGCCCCCGGGGAACTGTGGGACAGGTGCCAGCAGGGCCTGTGCGGGCCTGGGACGCAGTGAGGGGCGGGGAGCCAAGTCCCCTAAAGGGGCCGGTGAGACCGGGGTCACGTCAGACCAGGCGACTCTAGGCACCCTCCTGCCCAGAGGCCCGAGAGCCAGCCTGCTCCGCAGACCTGCCACGCCGGCCTGTGTCCCCGGGGGCTCGTTCTGGGTCTGGTCTGGGGTCTGCGGCAGGCTGGGCTCCCATGTTCACAGGTCACACGGAAGTGCTGCTGGGCGGGTCTGTCTGCTTCATGCCTACGTTGTTTTTTTTGTTGTTTCTGTTTTTCTGAGACAGGGTCTCGCTCTGTTGCCCAGGCTGGAGTGCAGTGGCGTGATCACAGCTCACAGCAACCTTGATCTCCTGGGCTCAAGCGATCCTCCTGCCTCAGCCTCCTGAGTAGCTGGGGCTACAGGCACGCGCCAAACATGCCCGGCTAATTTTTCTATTTTTGGTAGAGACCTGGGGGTGGGGGGGGGCGGTGTCTCGCTCTTGCTCAGGCTGGCCTCAAACTCCTGAGCGCAAGCGATCCACCCGCCTCAGCCTCCCAGGGTGCTGGGGTGACAGGCGTGAGCCACCGCGTGCCCAGCCTCATTCCTGCATCTTCCTTCTTCAGAGCTTAACGGACACTAATCCCTTTTATCATCTCACCATCTAAAATGAGCAGTGCCCATCGGAGCGGACGTTCGTGCATGTTTTTGACCTCATGGCTGCGCAGACTCCGCGGGGGGCTTCTCTAAGCAAGAGGAAGCAGGCCGGACGTCATCCAGAGCAGCCGGCAGGCCGAGCCGGGCAGCGCCGTGGCAGGACGGTGCGTGATGCCTCCACCCCTGACTCCTCTTCACGTGAGACTGTGGCCCAGCCAACCCGAGCCCGGGATCCTCCTCCTCCCAGTACAAGGAGAGGCGCTGCCAGGATCCCAGCTGGAGCCCGAGCCCAGCCGGCGTGCAGGGAGGCCGCTGCAGGCTCCTCTGCACTGGCCAAGCCGGGCGCGGCCTGGCGCCAGGATGGCCTGTGTGTGTGGCGGGCCGAGCTCCTGCGCGCGATCCTGGCTCGAGGGTTCTACCTAGAGACGGCTCCGGGAGATGGTCCCTCCCCCTGGATGCGGTCACCGCGTGGTAAATTCCATCTGAAAAATAAAAGCTGAGCTCTTTGCTGAGTCATAGAACCTTCGGAGCTGATTCGCAGGCGCTGGGCTGAGCCCCAGCCGAGCCGAGAGGGAGCCAGTCACACGGCGGGGCCGGCCGAGATGAAAAGGGAGAGGGGAGAGCAGCAGCCGTGAGTGTTTATTTCCCGGGTGCTGCAGAGGCTTTGCTGTCTCGGGCTGGGCTGCGTTTCTCAGCACAGGTCTGTTCCACTTGCGTTCTCCCCTGTATTTAGCATGCACGCATGTGTAGCCGGGAAGTTCGCAGCTTGGAGAATGTGGCATCTTCAGTGTGCAGAGAATGTCACAGGGGAAGACGCCTAACGTGCCCCTTTCTGCGCTTGAGCTCGTGCACGCTTGGCAGGAGGGCTGGGCCTGCCTCTCGGGGAAAGAGATTCGCCTTTAAAACAAACACGGGTGTTTATTTCATTGCGGATTTAAAGCCGGTGCTTGTTCACACGGCAGCCGTGGGGTGGGGTTGACAAGTTGTGACTCTGCTTAGCCCTGGTGATGGTGGCCGTCCCTCCTGGCACCCAAGCAAGCTGCTCTGCGCAGCCTGGGAGGCCTCCAGGGGCCATCTCTCTCCTGGCTGAATGGGGGTAATCGATTGGATTTCTTTGCTGCTTGTTTTCTTTTTTAAGAATAAGTCAAGGCCGGGTGCAGTGACTCATGCACGTAATCCCAGCACTTTGGGAGGCTGAGGCAGGAGGATCACTTGAGGCCAGGAGTTTCAGACCAGCCCGGACAGTATAGTGAGACCCCCGTCTCTACAAAAAAATAAGAAAAATTAGCTGGGTATGGTGGTGCATGCCTGTAGTCCCAGCTACTCAGGAAGCTGAGGCAGGAGGATGGCTGGAGTCCAAGAGTTCAAGGCTGAAGTTAACTATGATCACGCCACTGCACTCCAGCCTGGGGGACAGAGTGAGACCCCATCTCAAAAAAAAAAAAAGGATGGGTCAAACCGGGTATAGTGGTTCCTGCCTGTAATCACAGCTACTCGGGAGGCCGAGGTGGGAGGATTACCTGGGGCCAGGGGTTCAAGACCAGTCTGGGTGACATAGTGAGGCTCTGTCTCACAAAGCCAAAGGAACCAAAAGGATAGGTCGTGTTTATGCCCTATCACCTGTCTGTCCTCATCACCCGTCTGCCCATCAGTTGGGTGGCGTCTTCTCCATGAAACTTCATCAAGCATCACAAATTGCCTATCGACACCACTCCTCATGCCAGGAACTCAAGTATTTTGGGGAAGCAACAACTCATTAAGAAACTTCCATTACATTTCTCTGAAAGAAGCCGTGACATTGCGCCTCGGTTTCTCTAGTTGTTCAGAGCAAATCTGCTGCTGATTTGGGCTGGCAGGGCTGAGTACTTTGCCACGGTAACTCTGGCGATAGACAGCTTTGCTGATTCTCGTTGAGAGCGTGCAGGTGAGCTGAGGGTGCAAATGCCATTGCCTTTGATTTCATGCCTGGCTCCCGGGGTGGGAGGACTCGCCGCGGCACGGGTACTTCTCATTCGAAACCGAGGTCGCGGTTCCTGGTGCTCACAGAACTGCCCCCCCCCCCCGGGCCTGCCTGGTTCCCTCCCCGGTGCCACAGGGAGCCCCGTTAGTGACTCCCAAGCCTGGGTCAGGCCTGGCCTCATCTCAGACCCTGCTCAGGACAGGGGACGCGCCAGGTTGCTCTTTGCCTCAACCCCTGTCGGTGCATTTTCTTGAAAGAATAAAATTGCCTCCTTCCTTGAAAAAGAAAAAAAAAAAGAAACCGAGATGGGAGCTACAGGTTTGAGAATATTCTCGGCAGACTGGAGCTGCAGCTCCTGAGGGGCCGGGACAGGTACCGGGACCAGGCCGGGCGGACCCAGGCTCTGCCCTGGCGGTGCTGCGCGGAAGGTCAGCGTGTGGGTCTCAGAAGACACGGTCTGTGTCCCGTGGAAGGCGGTGTGCTCACTCTGGAGGCTGGGGGTGCACAGGCACACGTGTTCGTGCCTAAGTCTCCTCTTCCCTGGTTCTCTGATGGCTGGCGAGCACGCCTGTCACACGCAAGAGCCGCGATGCCACGGAGAACACGAGTCTCCCATCACTGTCAGAGGGCCCTCAGGATCCCTCTGCTCCCCGTCTCTAGACGCCGGGTGGCCCCACGCGAGGGGGCCGTGGGGAAGGAGCGGCGCTTGGCCTCTCTGAGTGTGCGCGTCCTGCGGAAGTTCTTAGAAGGTTCTTCCTGACCGCAGGCTTCTGCTAGAGGGGGATCCATTCAGGACAGACGCCACACCTCTGCTGCCCCAGCCTCCTTGGTTTCCGGACAGGTGAGCCAGGTGTGCTGTGGGTGCAGGTGGACTTTCCATTCGGATCCCGACACGCCTGTGTTTAGCGCGGGGACTGGAGAGGCCGGGATGCCAGCCGCCGAGACGAGGAGTCTTTTTATTTTATTTTTTTTTATTATTTCGAGATGGAGCCTCACTCTGTTGCCTGGGCCAGAGTGCCGTGGCGTCAGCCTAGCTCACAGCAACCTCCAACTCCTGGGCTCAAGCAATCCTCCTGCCTCAGCCTCCCGAGTAGCTGGGACTACAGGCATGTGCCACCACGCCCGGCTAATTTTGTCTATATATATTAGTTGACCAATTAATTTCTTTCTATTTGTAGTAGAGATGGGGTCTCGCTCTTGCTCAGGCTGGTCTCGAACTCCTGACCTTGAGTGATCCTCCCGCCTCGGCCTCCCTGAGTACTGGGATCACAGGCGTGAGCCACCTCGCCCAGCCTGGACGCTGTGTCTTTCTGTAAAAGCCTGTGTGGGTCCCCAGCCTTACCCCGTGAACCGCTGGGAGACGTCTCCCCTGGAAACATGGCGCCGTTGGACCCGCACCCCAGCAGAGCTTTGAGCTGGGAGAGGCGTGTGTCGAATGCCGCCGACCGGAGCTGCCCCGCCCTCTCCCTGAGCCCGGTGCTGCCTGGGCCGCCCTCCGGCGAGGGCTTGTGCACCACACACGGGCCTGCCCTGCAGTCATGCAGGAGACACGCCTGTTCTCCTGCGGCGTGGCCCCGGAAGGTGGTGAGGCTCTGGGGCCACGCTCCCATCATGCTGTCACCTCCCAGGACCTGGCGTCTACGCCATCTGTGCCATCCCTGTACAAGCAGGTGTGGCCGGGAAACCACACCTGCGACGCAGGGCACTGGTCTCAAAGAAGAGGCTGGGCTCCAGGTGCAGCCGGAGTCCCACGTGGTGGCATGAGTCCTCTGCCAGGTGACTGCTGGCTCAGCAGGAAGGGCGTGGCGCGTTTGGGCCCGGAGGTTCTGCGGCTGGGATGTCACGCTTCATGCCGCGGTGCGAGGTCACAGCAGCGGCGGCGCTGACCGGCCGTTTGCTGCGGGCCAGCGGGAGTCCACCCAGTGGCGGCCTCGCGGCCGCGGGTTCCTCTGCCTGGCCCCCGGCCGGCCGCTCAGCACCACCTGCTCTCCGAGGAGCCTGCGTCTCCCTGCGGCGGAGCCCACCTGGGCCAGAGGGAGGCTGGCTGCGGGGCCGCCGGGAGGCAGGTGCGTGGCCGGGGACCTCCCCGCGTCCCCTCTGCGGGAGCGCCGCGTCCGTGCCATGCACTGAGGATGCTCTCCCCAGGTCCACGCCGCCCTGTCGTGTTGAGCCGTGAGACCCAGCGTCACCCTGACAATGACGGGTGTGTGGTCAGTGCAGGCACTTGGAGGACACCATCTGTGCTGAGGCCCCGCAGACGCCCTGCTCAGTGGGGTCACACTTGTTTCTGTGGTGGGGTCACGCGTGTTTTTTGTTGTTTTTTTTTTGAGAGAAAGAGTGCTGAGTTGCCCGGCCTAGAGTGGGCCTTGCGAGCGCCTAGCTCACAGCAACCTCAAACTCCGGGCTTAAGCAATCCTACGTGCCTGAGCTCCGAGTAGCTGGGACTACAGCATGCGCGCACCATGCCGGCTAATTTTTTGTTGTATATATATTTTTAGTTGGTCAATTAATTCTTTCTATTGTTAGTAGATTGGTCTCGCTCTTGCTCAGGCTCGGTTGTTCCGAACTCCGCCAACGCTTGAGCTGCAGTCACCCGCGACCCCGGCCCTCCCAGAGTGGCTAGGGTTCAGGCGTGCAGGCCACCCGGGCGCCGGCACCTCGTGTGTTTCGGTGGTGGCCTATAGTCAGGAGGCGGCGAGACTCGGACGTCCCTGAGGCTCTGAGGACATTCGAGGCGGCCCCACACGTCTGGGTCCGGCGGTCCACGTCGTGCAGGGCAGGAGCCGCGGCCTCCGTGGGCGGGCTCCTGTGGGTGGCCACGTGCCACGTCCCTTTCAGAGTGGATTGGCAGGTGAGCGGCGCTTGGCAGCTGACCGACGGCTCTTGGTCCCCAGCCGCGGGCGAGAAGAAGCAGACGCGTGGGCACGTAGGGACTCTGACCCGTGGCGGGCCAGAGCCAGCGAGGGTGTTAAGCCGACATGTAAGGCAGGCCTCTGGCAGCCCTGGGCGCCTCCCCGGCCCGTGGCTGTGGGAGCGTGTCCCGCTGGACAGGCCGTCATCGTGCTCCGCGCGGTTGAGAGGCGCGGGGGCGCGCGCTGGGCTGGGCGGGTGCACACGGCCCCAGTGCGGGTGTCCGCGCCACGGAATACGGCGGCTCGGCTTCGCAGCTCGGAGGCCCAACCCGATGGCGAGGCGTCCTGGCAGTCTCCGCGGCCCTGGGACGGGCCTG